CTTAGCCGTTGTTATCATTTAAACCCGAATTAATTAAAGTTGTTTCCTTGAATTAAAAGTGAAAAGCCAAAAGTACAAAACACAAATCAAAATCCCTGCACTTTACTCATTTCAATATTTAAAGTTATCTACTCTCGGACTTGAATTAAACAACGTTTCCCTGTGGATTCGACCCGGTATTTTACCGGAATTTATTACTATATCGGCACTTGTACACTTGCAAGTTCAGCCCGGTCAAGTATGATGATCAAGATTTGGCCTATGATCAATTGGTTTTTAATGAAGTGTTATTAGTTTGTCTCCCTCATGAACTGCCATCATGGAGTCAACGAGCAGCTAGCCTGAGGATCTTGTAGGCTTACCAGGAGGAGATTGGAGTGGGGGAGCTCCATCAGTGTAATTTAATTTGTTTATGTCTCTTACGATTAAGATTGTTTTCTACGTACTTTGTTGTCTTTATAATTTCGAATAGTAGGAGTGTTTTTGTTTATTTTGCTAGATAGTATTCTATTGGGAAGAAATCAAGCTGTTTTGGCCGTTAATAGCTTCGAAATTATCACATGTTCAACGATTAGTCTCATTTTTTGGGGAGGTGAACTAGTCTATGTCTAATCAAGGAATGAGGTCCGGTTGGTTTTAAGGAGTCTAGAGAGAGGAACTGGATATGTGATGTTGTTGGGAAAATGACTTTTCAAGATTAATACTCCATCTGTCCCCCTAACAATGGGACAAGATAGAGTGAGACGCAAATTAATAAAAAATGATTTATGTGGTTGATATTGAATTGATAAAGTAAGAATAAAGTAAGAATGATTTAGAGCCACGCAAACTTTACCAAACTACTACCTCCGTCCCACTGACGGGCACTTTGTCACGGTGCGTCAAAATAAATTCAATACTAGCACTAATAGGTATTATAGTGAAGTAGAGTTTGTATCCACAGGGAAAGGAATAATTCTCTTTTTATGAAATTATGAAACTAGTAAATAAAAGGGGGCTTTTATGGTTGAATGATTTAATTTAATTAAACACTAAAATGAACAACTTATATGTGATTTAATTCAAGAATAAAAAGGACTTGACATTGCTACTTTCCACTTGTTGATATATTTTAGTCGATCATTGTTAAAAAAAATTATCCCCTCTCGAATACTCAATCGAGGAGTATATCCAATTCATCGAGAGTAGTTTTTAACAACGACCGTTCATTAATAACCCTTACTCTTAGTCAAGTATAGAACACCGCCATATACCAACTTAATAGTAGCATTTAATCTCTTAACTCCTTGATGAAATCAATTGAGATTGATAACCTCAACACAACGGTTTCGGTTTAACCAACAAAATTAATCCATCTTCAGTTTATTAACCACGACCGTGCATTAATAAACCGAAGTTACTTACTTGTGAAACCATGAACGATTAACCATCGGTTCGTTGATCGTTTCTAGTAGTAATTAATGTCGAGATGTTAACTAATTGTCATCTTAGCAACACTTCCCAACATTAATATAGAGATAGATTAAGGGAAGAATTAATATTCAAGGAAGAAGATTAAATATGAATAATCCTACTATAACTAATGTCAAGATGTTATCTAATTGTCATCTTAGCAACACTCCCCAACATTAATATATAGAGGAAGAAAATAAATACTACTATAACTAATGTCGAGATGTTAACTAATTGTCATCTTAGCAACACTCCCCAACATTAATATATAGATAGATTAAAAGAATAATTAATATTCAAGGGAAGAAGTTAAGAAAATAACTCACAACTTTAATAATCAACAAGCTTCAAGAGCAACACCAAGAAATGGAAGTTTAGCTCCTCATTTGGAGACTAAACATGCTATAAAAATATAAAAGAAATACTATTCTAAACTGAGCTTAAGAGTATGGAAGAAGGAATGATTTTTTTTTAAGGAAAAGGGGTGTATTTATAGGTGTTTGGAGGTGGCAGGGTTGTGTACCCGACCGGGTATATAGGGTACCCGACCGGGTATATAGGGTACCCGATCAGGTATTTTAGGCAGTTTCTCGGAAAATCACTTTTCTAGACATACCCGGTCGGGTATGTAGGCATACCCGGTTGGGTATGAGTCAAATCTTCAAAATCCTGCACATTTTTTGTCTCTCCAGATTCTGATTTTGACACCCGAATCAACTCAATACCCGATCGGGTATTGCCTATACTCGATCGGGTATATGAAATATTTTCTCAATCTTCTTTTTAAGCTCAGAATAATCTTAATCTAAACAAATTACATTTATATAGGAACTAGTTCTTGTAACGCGCGATGCGCGATCGGGATAGTGCCCAATGTATTTTTTGTAACATAAATCTTTAACTATATATGCTTACACCTCATTAAGTGTCTTTAGTTATACCATACTGTAGGCATGTCAACATGTCAGATACGGACCGAAACTATAAATTCCATATCCATATCCGTTGAAAGTTTTTTTGTCTAGTTTGTCTAGATCCGGACCCATTTACCCTTCGGGTCCTAAACATATGTACCGGATTTGGATCCGACGGGTCTCGGATCCGGCTGGGTATACCCGCAAAATAAAACTAAATGACATATGCAAACAAATATAATATATAATAAAAAAAATCATGATGGAAGAGATCATATACAAATAGGCAAAATGTCGTTCTATCTATTACTCTATATGAACTATACAATAATATACGGAGTATGTTATATGTATATTAGTGAACTCGTAGAGAACCTAAAACAAGAACTCATTAGCGAAAATCTCATTATACTGGGCCAACTACTATCTAAGTTTACAAATATTAAAACATTTTTTATATTAGATTATGTTCCTTGTTTTATGTTTAAATATTTCTATGTATATTTTGTGTGTCATTTCATTTCATTTTCATTTTCATTTACCCCAATGCCGCAAAGGCTCTCACCTACGGTGGGGTAAGGGGGGTCGGAGGTACGCAGTCTTACCCCAGTACTAAAGCACAGAGAGACTGTTTCTGGATGACCCATAGTGAAAATCGTGTCCAAAATTGCATGGACTGACTGCTGTTTCATAACAAAGAAGCGCAAACAGTTTAGTGAGTCGTTTTGCTTTATTCCATCATATTCTCAAGCCAAAAAATAATGAATTTTCGGCTCCATTGCAAATGATGGAAAATATGTATATTTTGTGTGTATATGTAAAAAATTATAACTATAATTATTTCATTACGGGTCGGCTCCAAAACGGGTCGGAACTTTAAAAAACCATATCTGACCCATTTTCTTTATCATGTAACGGGTTCGGATCCGGATCCGGGAAACGGTTCTAAATTTAGACCCATACCCTCAAATAAAGTGTCGGATTTGGATCGGGTCCGGGTCTAGACCCGACCCATTGACAGGCCTACCATACTGTACCAAAGTGTCAAGCAAAAAGATATATAATGGTATGCAAAAGGTTTTTAAAGACTGAAGCTCTTCCGTTGGACTACCTGTGAAGCTAGACTAAATGAAAAATAACTATAATCTTGCTACATTGTAGTTGGAGTGAAGGCATCAAAGAGATAGCCAGTTGGAACTCTTGTCATAACCTGAAATTTTTAACACACAAATGAATGGGGTTGATGTTTTTTACAATGTATTCATAATTTATAGACTTTGAGGCTTAATTTATACTCCCTTTGCCTCTAAAGTGCACACTCCCTTTAGCATTTGTTAGACTATTAAGAAAATGAAATGGTATGCTCAAAATTTGTAACACCAGACCCGAATTTTACTGTGAGAAAATTTTTTCATCAAGTACTGGGTTAAAGAAGGTAAATCAAGGCTAAGAGTAGTCTTGATAAATGAGAAAGTAAAAATTTTGTCTTAAATTAATAAAGGATTATTAATTTAGACGTGGGGACCACTCATGATATTTCGAGTTTATAAAATATTAATGTTTATCAAAATGATACTATTATGATAGTATGGATGGTTCCTGGACCCCGGTAATATAAAGAATGACAACTAGACGGCCAAGCGGGTCGGTGTCACTATTCGATAATTGTGAGTCTTTAATTATCAGACTGATAATAATTCGGAAGGCTACGTATTAATAACATGAGGAATATAATTATTTTAAGGACCCAAAACATGGGATGATGGATAATAATGAGCAACTAGACATGTTAGAGGTGGGTACTTTTGGAGGACCCTACCTTGGAGATATTTTGTATAAGAATAAACAGATAAGATTTTATCTGTTCATACAGTTCGGACCACTTAAAAATAAGTGTAACATTTTATTAAAGTGTCACCAAATATGAAACCACATATTAAGTAATGAGAAATGACGAGTGAATTTTCGAGGCAACGCGTTCTCATTTTTACTGTTACTTCAACAGTAAAATACACGTTGAGCCCAAAACGTGGGCGGCGACCATCCGATATTTACGGACCACATATTATATTCATCTTGGTTTAGATAATATTTATATGATGGTGTAAATTAATGTTGAGCCATAAAGTTGGCCTTTCGATCAAACAAGGTCTCATTATCGGTATAGTTAATTAATCAGATAACAGCCCGAAATAAATTCCGGGGACCACTAAATTAAAGTGGGGTAATATATATTCATTTTAGAGTCCAATATTAATTGAAAGAATGATATATATTTTACTTGACCCGATAAAATGAAATTTAATTAAAACAGTCCGAAAAAAATACAACTTTCGGGGCCGAATGTACACTTCGGGATATATTGGGATGACCTCCCACATGAGTGGGGGCCACCCCACGATTTTTGGTCTAACAATAAGTGTGGTGAGCATAGAAATGAGGTGTTTGATGGATGAAGGGATGGGTTAGACAAATATGTATACATTTTGTTTTGAAAAGGGGTAGCTAAGAGTTATGCCCATATTGTACTATCACCCTATTTTGAGGGTCTCACGTGAGAAACGTTAGTTACATTACATACAGTTTGCCCTCACCAGTACTTTTCTGTAGTACTGATCCCTCGGGGGAACCACCCTTTCAGGTTGAAGCTAGAGCTTACTTCCTGCACCCGTTGCTCGGGAGATCGATGGAGAGAAGACGTGGTTCGTGCTTCCTCCGGTTCTATTTCTAAATAATTAAATAATGCTCATGGAACTATTTTGACTTATAAATTAATGGAGCCTGCGAGCTCTTGTTTTACCCTTGTGTGGGTTCTTATTAAACACTTATATTCCGCTATGTGTTTGATTGTATGTTGATGTTGTTATGTATGTTTACTAATCGGTTTTGGCATATGTATCTATCGGACATCTTGTGCAATTCGGTAAGGATGAACTGCGGTTATTCTTATTGGATTGTACGACGGTTGTCCACGTGGCACAGACGCGGTCTGGGGCGTGACAATTAAGTGGTATCAGAGCCAAACGATTTCTAAACTATATAGTCAACCTCTCAACAGAGTTTCTATCAAAACAGTTTTCAATGAAAAACCATGAGCATAAGTTTTGTACTTTAAGAGCATTTGGTTATCGAGTTGCAAGGTCTCTGGTTGTTAAGATGGGCCCCTTAACAATTGGTATGACAGTGACTTGAGCTAAGTTGTGTCTTGAGTACGTGTCTGTCAATTGACATTCAAACGAGTCCAAAGACTCACTCCAACATATTCTTTCAGGAATGGGTGGTAGTGATAGGGCGGTTCGAGGAAATCCGAGAGGGCGCGCACCGGGGATAGCCGGGCAAGCCAATCGGGGAATATCAAGGTCGCGTAAAAGGCGAGGTATGGGCAACCAAGGCCCACGAACACGAGCCACGATGGCTGATCACAATGTGACTGAATTCGAGTCGTGGAACTCGGAGGATGACTCAACTTATCACCCTGAAAGCGAGTCAGATGAAACTTCTTTTCAGGAAAACAGTGGAGAGGATGTACAAAGTATTCCTCCTGACCATGTTAGTGAGATGTACCGATGGTACCAACGTGAAAAGGGAAGACAACGACAGGGATCTCAGGAGGGACATGTCAAAGGCGAGACCTCTCTCAGGAGGGGTCGGGGTGCTCATAGAGCACAAGTTAGGACAGTCAGAGATTCTGATGACGAAGGACCATTCATTAAGATCTCAAAGTACCTCAAAGAGGCTAGAGCCTTGGGGTGCAAACCATTTGATGGGACGGGGGACATATCAGAAGCAGCCGAGTGGATAAAAAGGTTAAATGATGCAGCTGAGGACATGCAGGTGGTCCCTGAAAGAAAGTTAAGGGTAGCCACTAGATTATTGGAGGGTTTAGCTTCTACTTGGTGGGAAGGCACCAAGGGTAAGTTTGACGGGGTTGTCACGTGGGACAACTTCGAGCAAGCATTCTATGAGCAGTTTTACACCTCTTTCGAAGTAAATCGAAAGAGGAGGGAATATATCGATCTCAAACAGGGAAATGAGTTTACGGTGAAGCAACTGGAACAAAGATTCCGACATCTGGCAATGTTCTTGCCTGAGTATGCCGCAAATGAGAACCGAATGGCAAATCATTTTTGGAATGCACTCAATTTGGAAATACGCGAAAGAGCGACCTACCAATTCAACATGACTTTTAGTCAAGTAGTAGCCCAAGGTCTCCAGGGGGAGGAGCTTTGGAAGGAAAGGCAAGCAAGGGATGCAAAGGAAGCACAAGAAAGAGATCAGGTGATCATTCACCCTCCACGACGAGAGGGGAAGTATGAACTTCAGAGCAAGGGGAACTCTAACAGGTTAGTTCCGTTTTTCAATGAGATCCAGGACTTGGTAAGTCAAAGCTCAAGCACTCGAGGCACGGGGGCACCCAAATGTGAGAATTGTAGGCGAAGGCACTACGGGAGATGTCGAGAGCCATCTAGGTGTTACTTTTGTGGAGAAACAGGCCACATCAAGGTCCTTTGTCCTCAACGTACGCGTGAAGGAACATCAGGAGCTAGAGGAGGGGTCACGGGGGTTGAAAACCCAACTAGGGTTGCCTCAAACATGGTACCTTCTACAAGTCAATGGCGAACTCGCTCGTGAAGGCCGGGAATGGCGGAAGCCATTTGTTAGGCCCGACTATGGCATAAGGTATTATTAAATTAAACCTTAATTTCCGTAAATAGTTTTATGTTCAAAATTTTTAGCTTCAGAAAATGAAGGGAGAAATGTTTCTCAAGGTTCAGACGTTAATTTCGGGGACGAAATTCCTGTAAGGTGGGGTGAACTTGTAACACCAGACCCGAATTTTACTGTGAGAAAATTTTTTCATCAAGTACTGGGTTAAAGAAGGTAAATCAAGGCTAAGAGTAGTCTTGATAAATGAGAAAGTAAAAATTTTGTCTTAAATTAATAAAGGATTATTAATTTAGACGTGGGGACCACTCATGATATTTCGAGTTTATAAAATATTAATGTTTATCAAAATGATACTATTATGATAGTATGGATGGTTCCTGGACCCCGGTAATATAAAGAATGACAACTAGACGGCCAAGCGGGTCGGTGTCACTATTCGATAATTGTGAGTCTTTAATTATCAGACTGATAATAATTCGGAAGGCTACGTATTAATAACATGAGGAATATAATTATTTTAAGGACCCAAAACATGGGATGATGGATAATAATGAGCAACTAGACATGTTAGAGGTGGGTACTTTTGGAGGACCCTACCTTGGAGATATTTTGTATAAGAATAAACAGATAAGATTTTATCTGTTCATACAGTTCGGACCACTTAAAAATAAGTGTAACATTTTATTAAAGTGTCACCAAATATGAAACCACATATTAAGTAATGAGAAATGACGAGTGAATTTTCGAGGCAACGCGTTCTCATTTTTACTGTTACTTCAACAGTAAAATACACGTTGAGCCCAAAACGTGGGCGGCGACCATCCGATATTTACGGACCACATATTATATTCATCTTGGTTTAGATAATATTTATATGATGGTGTAAATTAATGTTGAGCCATAAAGTTGGCCTTTCGATCAAACAAGGTCTCATTATCGGTATAGTTAATTAATCAGATAACAGCCCGAAATAAATTCCGGGGACCACTAAATTAAAGTGGGGTAATATATATTCATTTTAGAGTCCAATATTAATTGAAAGAATGATATATATTTTACTTGACCCGATAAAATGAAATTTAATTAAAACAGTCCGAAAAAAATATAACTTTCGGGGCCGAATGTACACTTCGGGATATATTGGGATGACCTCCCACATGAGTGGGGGCCACCCCACGATTTTTGGTCTAACAATAAGTGTGGTGAGCATAGAAATGAGGTGTTTGATGGATGAAGGGATGGGTTAGACAAGTTTGAAAGGTAGAGGGACCCTCTCCCATTACTAATTGGCTTTTTGAGACAAAAATTGTCTCTTCACCCTCTCTCCTCTCTTTGGTTCGTCCAAGCCAACCCAAGGGAGAAGAAACCTCTGCAAAACTTCATTCTCCATAGCCATAACCGAGCTCAAGGTTGGAGGAGGTTCAAGGGAGAAGAAAAGCTTGGAGAAAATGAAGAAAACTTAGAAAAATCAAGGTAATGACTTCATTAGTATTTTTCTCCCTTCATTTCAATCTCATATGATTTTATAAATCATATGGTAGACTTTTGAACTTGTTCTACACTTCTAAAAGTGTAGAATGAGGGTTTGGAAGGTTAAGTTTAACCATAAACGGAGTTATGACCGGAGTAAGACCGGTTCACCGGAAAACACCTTCTTGGAAGGTTTTGATGTTTATACCACTCTTGGTTGTGAAACCTTGTTAGGAATTTTACCAAGGTATTCTAGACTTCTCAAGGAACCTAGGAGTGGCCGGAAAGTCGCCGGAGCCGCCGGAGTTTTCGCCGGAAATTTCAAAGGTCGCCGGAGTTCAAACAAAGGGGATAAAAACTCGCTAGCGTCATTTCAAGGTGAGTGGACGACTACGTGTCTTGTAACTCTTGGTTCAAACGTGGGATTACCTAAATAAAATCATAACCATGATTTGAGAAATGATGAAATGGATTAAAATGCATGATTAGTCATGGTGTATATGACTAATGAAAAAAAAGATTAATTTATTAATTAATCATTAGTACGTAGTATATATTTCTTAATGCATAAGAGGATATACTTGAACCATGTATGAGATAAGCTCGAATAATCTAGTAAGTGAATATAAAAGGGTTGTAAAGTTGTGATTATCCATATTAAATATGGATTATGGAAGTGTTATATGATAAATAAAAAAAAATAGATTAATTTATTAATTAATCATGAGTATATTTTTCTTAAATGAATAAGAAGGTATACTTGAACCGTGTATGTGATTAACTAGAGTTATCTAGTAAAGAAATATAAAAAAGATATGTGATATGTGATTAGTCATATTAATTATGGATTATGGAAATATGGCATAATTAATGATTAATCAATTAATGGTATGAATAAAAGGTTGTAAGAAAGGATCATGAGCCATGATTTGGGCTTGGGCATGAGATTACTCAAATAAAACAGAATGATATCCCATGAAATGTTAAATACATCTAAGAATGTATTAAGGAAAGATTTACTTATTAATAGTATTAATAAGTGTATTTAATATGCTTTAATTTGGACAGAAAATGATTATAAATTATGTGTGATGATTTGGACGTCCAAAATAATATTTTTGGACTAAGAATGACTTGTTGCATAAGCGTATAAAATTTCGTGGAAATCGGACCCCGTTTGGATGGTCAAACGGGCGTTGACCAAAATGTTGACCGGTTGCCCAGGGGGTAACCGGCGCCGGTTATAGGCAAAACCGGCGCCGGTTATGGTTCGGTTTACTCAATAAAATCAGTAAACCGGCGCCGGTTATGGGTAAAACCGGCGCCGGTTATGTCTCGGCTTTCAGGACTGATTTTTGCTAAAAACCCAAATCGGACCCGGTTCGACGTGGGATTAATTCTGGTCATCCTATATATGAATATTTTGCATGGAATTGCATGAAATATGATGTTTAAAATGATAAGGCTTGGAATACGGTTTAAACGCTAAGACTTGGACTAGTCATTAGTAAAGAAATTATAGACCACGACCGGGCGAGGCACGTGGTAGATTATAAATGGCGGGTGAATACCCGGGACCAAGTAAGGTTATATAATACTCTGTAGGACCAGGAGGAGTCCTCTACACTCAAACGTTAACAAGGGCCCGTGCAGTCCTTGAGGTGTGTTTAACCTCCATCAAATTGCATATAGGTAACAAGGGCAAGTGCAGTCCTTGAGGTGTGTTTAACCTCCATCAAATTGCATATAGGTAACAAGGGCAAGTGCAGTCCTTGAGGTGTGTTTAACCTCCATCAAATTGCATATAGGTAACAAGGGCAAGTGCAGTCCTTGAGGTGTGTTTAACCTCCATCAAATTGCATATAGGTAACAAGGGCAAATGCAGTCCTTGAGGTGTGTTAACCTCCATCAAAGTGCATATAGGTAACAAGGGCCCGTGTAGTCCTTGAGGTGTGTTAACCTCCAGTAAATTACACATAGGATGAGGGTGTATGCGTACTCCTCGAGGCGGGGTTAACCCGGAAATGAAAACTATGATAGCAAGGACGGATAGTCCTCGAGGCAGGTGAACCTCGAAGTAATGATTTTAAATGATTAAATGTGCTTGATCGGGAACGAGTTCCCGATATAATATTTTCCTTGGCCTAGGGATTGATTTAAACCATGTCTGGGATATGGGAGTCCGAAGGGCCCCACAGTAATTATATTTTAGTATCGAGTGAGTTAGCCTGCGGGTGACTCCACTCGAGGGTAAGGCATGGGAAGGATGAATTTAATGAGGCGGTTACGCCTAAATGATTTGAAAGACAAATGGGCCCACGGGCCAAATATTTTACTCATATGTATATATGTATACATTTTGTTTTGAAAAGGGGTAGCTAAGAGTTATGCCCATATTGTACTATCACCCTATTTTGAGGGTCTCACGTGAGAAACGTTAGTTACATTACATACAGTTTGCCCTCACCAGTACTTTTCTGTAGTACTGATCCCTCGGGGGAACCACCCTTTCAGGTTGAAGCTAGAGCTTACTTCCTGCACCCGTTGCTCGGGAGATCGATGGAGAGAAGACGTGGTTCGTGCTTCCTCCGGTTCTATTTCTAAATAATTAAATAATGCTCATGGAACTATTTTGACTTATAAATTAATGGAGCCTGCGAGCTCTTGTTTTACCCTTGTGTGGGTTCTTATTAAACACTTATATTCCGTTATGTGTTTGATTGTATGTTGATGTTGTTATGTATGTTTACTAATCGGTTTTGGCATATGTATCTATCGGACGTCTTGTGCAATTCGGTAAGGATGAACTGCGGTTATTCTTATTGGATTGTACGACGGTTGTCCACGTGGCACAGACGCGGTCTGGGGCGTGACAAAATTTATTAGAAAGCAGAAGAAAACATGAACTAATAAAAATATTTCATTTATAAACAGTGCAAATGTCAGTTGGTCTTCAAGTACACACAGTGGCGTATCCAAGAATTTTCGTCAGTGGGGGCGAAATTACGTCAGCTACCTCACACATATGACATATCATAAACAACGACCATATTAATAAAATATAGTGTAAAATCAACTTAAAATAACAAAATATTTGTGAGACAAAACTATAACAATATCATACTTAAAACTTGCATGCCGATAAGTTTTCACTTGGTTAAAAGTAAAATTTAATCACATACTCCGTAGTTTGTATTTTGTAATGTATTCAAAATTATGTTAGCAATAAGAATCAAATAAGAAATGAATCAAATATTTATTTAGAATTAACTTAAGTTGTGAATGCACAAGTATATTTAAAAATAAAATTATATTAAATGTAAAATGTAATTGTTAAACACTTAAACTTCACAAACTATATGCGAAAAATTAAACTCCAATCATATTGAAGTACAAAAAATCCAAAATTTAAATACAACTTTTGGAATTCTAAAGTAGCTTTAAATTAGTTTAGTGCATAAAAATGCAAAGTAAAAACAAAATGAAAAAGGTTAAGGGTCAGAATCGAATTGGGAGCATAGAAAACACAAGTAAAACAAAATGA